CCCTGTGCTAATTCAAATTACTTCTAAAAAGTTTTCACCCACAGGTTCTGAAGAACCATATTTAACAATTAGCAAGTTTCCCTGAGTTCCCGCAATAATTTCTTATTTTGCATAGTTCACAGCTCTTCATTTGTTCACTTTCCTATAAAGTACATCAGTGGTCTATACATCTCTTACAATGTGGCCCTGGGAAACATTATTTCCAGAAGTCTCACCAGAGTAATACTGGACCACTACTTTCCTCATTCCGGGCACTGTATCACCTTAGTTTTCTTACATATGGTGAACAAATCACACAGGTGACTAATACCAAGTTTAATGCCTGGTAAATGTCTTTTAAAAACTGTTAAATGCCAAGAACAAGCTATTTAATTATGCTTGGTTAATTTTTTTCAATACAAATAGTAGACTTCAGATCTTTTCCTATTAAAAAATAACTTAAGATTCAGCCCACCTCTCTAGTCTGCTAGATTAATTTATTTAATGGTTATTTTTAAAAATTTACTATTTGCAAGGAACTACTCTAATGTTAGGAATATAGTCTTAAACATAACAGACATAAATCACTGCCTCATCTTTTTGGTCCTGACTCTGAAAAATAACATTTTTACTATCCATCCCCTCAATTTTATGACATCCATTAAAAAAAAAAAAAAACTAAAATTCTTGCATATTATGCAAGTCATAGATAAAAAGGGTGAACAGTTCATGGCTAAAGTCTCAGGTATTACAATAGAAGCTTACCTTTATTAATTCATTTAAAAAGTTGATTTCAAGCATTCTTATTTTTATTCATCTTTAGCAAACTCCCCTGGATCTAGAGAAGACTATATCATGAAAAACTTGAATTCCAAATATACCAAGTCTCCCAAATTTCCTTGGCTTCTCAGATTTTCGTCCTGACTTGAATGGCTATCTTAAAATTAGTAGTAACAAAATATTAAACTTACCCCTTTCGTCCAAAAGGAGATTTTCTGGTTTAATGTCCCTGTGAGTTATTCCAATGCCATGAAGATAAACCTACAGGAAAATAGAGAAACATCAGAATTTAGTAACTTACTATTTGTACTAATTTTAAATAAAAGGAAAAGATATAATTATACTTACCACCCCTGCCATGAGTTGATGAAAAAATCTCTGAGCATCTTGTTCAGGCATACCTATGTCTGGTTCTGTAAGAATTAATTACAAAAGTTAGTTTATTAGATAAATACAACCAGGCATTGAACATATAGTTTCTTAATCTGATTTTAGACATTTGTGATTATAATTTAGCAATCTTATACTATTGAAAGATTAAGTACATTTAACAATACAGTACTTAATAACCAACATTTTCCAATCTGTTAAAGAGCAAAAACAAACTAATATCATGGGAACATTACAAAGAAATAAAGCTATCATCCAAATCAAGAACATAATACATGCTATGAAAGCTCCTATTTTACTTACATTAATATTTACTTGGTATCTTTTAAATTCTGCCCTATTGTTTCTAAATGTTGTTAGTATTTTTCCCATTTCTGAAATATAATTGTCAATGTGAAAGCCTAAACCAATCTAAACCTATTTCACTAAATTTTTTAACAGATTTAAACTTTATAAAATCCCTTTCACTGAATGTTTACAAAGTTCCTTCAGGAAATAGTCTTATTAAGAGAGCTTCTATTATCAGTTATCTTTTACCTTTTATATTTTTATTTCTAACTCATGATTTCTTTTTCCCTCAGTTCTCTCCTGAAATTCCCATTAGAGATTTAAATAAGCAGTTTTTAACTACTAATAAAATAGCTTCAAATAATAAACTTAGACCCACAGCATATATTTTATGTACTTCTCAGCATTTTGCAACATCAATCATTTGAGTTTGCACAGAACACTTAGGTTGCAAACAATTTACTTGATATGTATATAAAGCCATCATTTCACTGCAACAAATAAGGGGGAAAAATAACAATATGATATTATTTTGGACCTGTAAATGTATGCAAATCATATAAACAGAATATCTACAAAGAAAAAAACTGTATAGGCAAACAATACAATGGTTTTTGTTGTTTTGTTTTTGTGGTACTGAAGATTGAACCCAGGGGCACTCTATCAATGAGCTAGATCTGCAGTCCTTTTTATTGTTTTATTTATTTATCTTGTGATATTGGGTTTTATTCTTTTAAACAGGGTTTTGCAAGGTTGCATAATCTGGCCTTGAACTTGCCATCTTCCTGCCTCTGCTTCCTGAGTAACTGGGATTACAGGCATGAGCAACTGAGCTCAGCTTATTATGCATTTATACTTCATAATCAAACTACAGTTTATCATTTTAAATTACATAATACAGCAATCCTGAAAAAATTACTTATAACTTAAGGACAGTTTTCTTTCATTGATACTGTATGTTTTCATATATTAGTAAAATTAGCCAAAAAAAAAAAAAAGGAATTTTTACTTCAATTTCAATATTGGAAAAACTTAAAGGGAAAATGAGTGACTAGCTATTCAATATGAAAAAACAAACTTAGAAACTTATTTAGTAGAATAAGTATCTTAAATTGTTTCCATACCTATTCTATCAAAAAGCTCTCCCCCACTACAGTACTCCAGAAATAGATACTGGATATTTCCTTCTCTCCTGTGACCGTAGAATTTCACTACATTTTCATGATTTAACATTTTATTGATACAGATCTCTTTCTTAATGTTTTCTGGACAATCTATAGCACGCTTCATATCTACAATCTTCACTGCAACTGCTTCTTCTGTTATTCTATTCACAGCAAGTTGAACTCTAAAAAAAGGAAAACAAGAGTTATAACATTATAGACATTTGAATTCTCTTTGAGAACTTCAAAAGATTAAACATGACAAATCCAAAATTGTTTTATCTTTACTACTTTCTCCACCAAGGAAACCAAGGAAATGGTTTCTGCCATATTTTCAACAGATATTGGTCCTTTCTGAAAGGTGAATTACTATGGCTATTACTCCAAAGAAGTCATTATGCTGTACATGCAAGTCATTTAAAAAATGCTTGATAAAGTAAACTAAATTGGGATAATAGCAATACTAGTTCTATTCACATAATTTTAATAGCATTACCTAAGATTTATTAATCTCATGCTACATATGACTGTGATAAAAGTACTAAGCACCTTTGGAGTAGGTACTGTTATTCCCATCTTATATAAATGAGGAAAACGGGAGACATACAACATTGGGATGCTCATCTAAGTCCACAAAACAAGCCCAGTATGCGACAGATTTAAGATCTGAAACCAGGCAGGCCATCCCCAAAGTCTGCTCATTTGCTCATTTAGCCACTATTCTTAAAGCTCAAGACTATGTGGTTGTTTGAGGAAACAATAATCTCAACAGATCTTTTACAGCTCTTGATAAAGAAAATGAAAAAATAATCAGAAATATTAATCCTTACAAAAATTGTGCAATTTCACTTGCTAAAAGCCTTGGTTTGCAAAGATCTGATCTCTAAAGCGCCACGTATTGGAAAAAACAATCCCAAAACAACAAATACATACTAAGACAAAACAATAGAAAACTAAAGCAAGCGTGAAAGCAAGATAATATTCGGATTCAAACTCACTCTCCGTAGGCACCTTCTCCTAGGGTTTGCACCAAGTCCCAGTCTTCCACAAAGGGCACTGCCATGACTCCACAGAGCACCACGGCTGTAAAAGGCAGGAACCCGAAAAATAAGGAACGAGCATAAGCTCAGATCACCTGTAAAGCCACCGCGCTCTGCTTCCTGCCATGATCCCTCACAACAGCTTGGTTTCCCCTTACATCTCATTCACATTTATCCAAGTCTTTAAACCCCAAACAAGTATACTAAGTTTAGGCATTTGGTTGCCGAAATCGTAATCCCGATTCCCTTGCACACCGAGGGCTGAAACTCTGCCCTCCTCAGGCCTCGCGGGAAATTTAAAAGTTGCGGTGAGAAGTGGGAAGACGGATGCTTTCGGGTGAATGACTGGGGAAGCGGGTAGAAGTGGTGGGAGTCTGGGGAAGAGAGTACGGGGATGTGGGCTAGAAAAGGGGTTGGAATAACTGCAGCTACTGCAGCCCCTCCTCCCCACTTGCACAGTTCCAATTCCCACCCCCACCCCACCCCACCCGTCCCAAAGGCCGGGAGGAGTCCGGGGCGGGGCCAAACTGCCCATAGAAGCGGAAGGAAAAGCTGGGAGCCAGCACAGCGCCCAAACTTCTGAGGTCCCCAGCTAGCAGAAAGGTAGCCTTCCCTTCCCCCCACACCCTTTACAATGAGGACCCCGTGGTACCACACTCCTCCACTCTCCAAAACCGCCCCTCCGCTGGAGGATATCCCATCTCCTCCGCTCAATAGTACCATTATCTCACCGTGCTCCTCCTTACTAATCTAGACTCCTAACTTCTTCTCCAGACCCCTTTTTCGCCCTACCGGCCGCCCCTCCTCACCAAGCTGTCCTTTGCCCGCCACCACAGGAATCCAAATGCAGCGCTTTTCCCGCCAAAATTTGCTTGCGTCACGTTGCCGCAAACGCGCGCACCCTTGCCGTAAAGCAGGACGACGCGCGTTCCCGCGTCCCTCTGAAGATTGGCGGCTCCAAAACACCTGCGCGTTGTAGTCCTTCTTGCCAGTTCCGAGCTGGCCTAGCCTGGGTTCCTTTGAGGTGTGGAGCAGATCCTGGCTGAAGATTGACGAACCGACCAGCGAATTGATCTCTTGGTCCGTGTGAAATGACATTCGGTGTGTGGGGCTCCGCTGCGCGGCTTGGGGCGCTCTGGGGCAGGGCCTACGCCTCTATCTCCGCAGCGCGCCCACCGTGGGCTGCGCCTCCTGGCGGTGGTCCCCGCTTTGTTCCCGGCCGCTCTGGGCCTGAAAAGGCCATAAATTGTCTATGGAAACCCACCAGCCTGTGACCTCTGAGCACCTGGCCTGGCAGCACGAAAAGACCAAGGAGGCTCCAGATTTCTCAACTTTGGAATGCGGGACCTATACTATAAGGACCGAGTGCCTACTATCAACAGCTGTGGTGAAGAGGGGTTTTGTGTTGGAGGGGAGAGCCATCAAAAGTGGCCACACATTAAGGGAGGTGGAAGAGTACTGGAATAAAGTAATCTGAGGAGAAACTGAGGTAATATCAGGATAAACAGTTTTGCCTTATGGGTGAATAGACTTCAAAACAATACTTTAATTCAGCCTTAACTTTGAAGGATGAGACCACCTGCCTAGCTTAGTTCTAGCAACTTTCTTGTTCTTAATGTGTAAAAAACAGGCAAGTAAAAGCCAGTATAAATTGTACAATGCAAAATTTTTAAAGTAACAAATTTTAAGAGAAGAAAATTCCAAAGAAAGGGATTTGAGAACAAAATAAGCCAGGAAAAACTGAAATGGGTATTCCCCTGCAATAGACTGAGAATTGAAGGCACAGGCAAGTACATTAAATTCCCCCTTTCTTCAAAACCAAGCCAAATACATTCAAGATAACTTGCAATACTAGTAATGGAGTAAAATATGTTACACATAAAAGAATACATACATCTGTTTTAAAAAAGCAAAGTCGGGGACAAACTGCAAATGCTTGGCTGTGAAGTTTTGAACCATGATATCAATTTAGATTTCATGTAATGTTTTCTAGTTTACTCTATCCTCCCTGATTTCCTCTCTGTGTGCTGAAAACAAAGATAAGAAGAGAAGGATCTATACCAGTTCCAGTGTGCCTGGGTAGAATTTAAATTTTTCCTGAAAAAACACAGTATCAGTTAAATACAGCATATGTGAGAAAGAATTGCCTCTGTGCCCTTTGGAAATGACTAACAAAATAGTAAAAGATAAATTTTTAGAAGACAATATCTTAAGAATGAGTATAAAACAATTTTGGAAAGCCTTGACATGGAAGGTAACTAACTTAAATGAAATAAAGATGAAACCCAAAACTGGCAATAAGAATGCAATAAAGCAACGATTTACATCTCAGAAATCCTAAAAGCCTCAACTTGAATTGGTGACACCAGGCAACTCTGAATGTGGAGGTGAAAGTGGGGCAAAAAGAGCGTAGGTTGACAGACTTTATAAGAAGCAAATAGACTTCTCCCTAAAAGAACTGCTTCTCTCCAAAGCTGGGTCAAGACTTTTAGTAATTATGTGGTATTTGAACTGAAAATAAATAGGGACAGTTAAAACCTTTTAGGTACCTTAACTAAACACAGAGGAATTAATTTTATTTGTAAACACTGAAAATTGAGACTATAGGCTTTTTTTCCCTACTCCCAGAAAACTGATAGCCTGGCTTGTCCTTGAGTAAGAGATTATATGCCTTGAGGAAATCTGATCTATGTAAGAGAAAAATACCTAGCTATCAGTACTAGACTTTCCTGTGTAATAGCCCAGCCAGATCACAGCAGATTGAAAAACACATAAATAAGCACCACCTGCCATCGAAAAGCCTTTTCAATCAGCTTTTTATGTCCCACTCTCTAAAAAGAGCAAACAACCAAGAATTGAGAGTCTTCAGTTGAAAAGATGTCAAAGGAGGAATTTTGAAACAAAAAAACTATTTTAAAATAGTTTTTAAAATACACTTGAGGAACTCTCCCCAGATGGAAGAAGATGAAAAATAGAAAAGTAAACATTAGAAGACTAATTCAGGAAGTCCAACATCCAAACAACTCCTATTTATAGTAAGAAAAAGGGAATAATAATTAGAATAGTATTGCATTTCTCAACATTTAGAAGACAGAAAACAATGAGTCAATCCCTTCATGATCCCAAGGAAAAATTATTTCCAAAATATACTTAGTGAATTTACAAGTTCAGTGTGAAAAAAACACAAAACCTCCCAAAATTCTCTCACATACCCTTTCTAAGATACTTAGAGGTGATAAAAATCAAGAAAGAAGTAAAATAGGGCTTGGGATGTAGCTCAGTAGTAGGGCACTTGCCTAGTATGCACAAGGCTCTGCAACCAGTCCCAGTATTACCAAAAAAAAAATTAAAGGATTAATACACAAAAAAACCACCTGTGAAATGATACAACCTAGGGGCTGGGATTGTGGCTCATTGGTAGAGTGCTTGCCTAGCAAGGCCCTGGGTTTGATCCTCAGCACCACATAAAATAAAATAAATAAATAAATAAAGGTATTGTGACCAACTACAATCAAAAATATAAATATTTTTTTTAAAAAATGATACAACCTAGTAACCCTGGAGAGTAAACCGATTCAAACTGCAACATACCAAAATAGAAGACATTCCCAAGAATGAATACCTAATATGTTCAAACATATTAAGAAAGTGACACACATCAAGGCAAACTGGGAAACAAAACTAGTGACAAGTAAAAAAAAAAAAAAGAAATCTCCAATGAAGAAAAATCTCCAATTAAAAAAAAATTATGCTAGAAAAATAGTTAACAGTAATAGTATATATGGCTTAATTGAGAATATCCAGGTAAGAATTATTGATTTAATCTAAATTATAACTATAATAGAATTGAATAAATAATTATAATAGAATTAGAACAGGATGTAATAATTACAATAAAACTATAAAAGGAAAGAGTAACAATGTGTCTACAGACCAGAAAATGGACAAAGAAACACTAAAATAGCAAACTAAAGCAAGTCATTTAATGATACAGAAGTGAGAATCTTCAAAGTTGAAAGTTGATGTCTTGGGGAGTAGAAAACACTGTCTTGTTGCTTTTTAAGAACTTTTTATATTAAGAGTAAATTATAACAATAAAAATTAAAAGTCAATTTTTAAAAAAGAAAGCTTCATGCTGAGTGCAGTGGCAGAAACCTGTAATCTCTGCTACTTGGGAGGCTGAGGCAGAAAGATCCCAAGTTCAAGGCCAATCACAGCAACTTAGACCCTGTCTCAAAATAAAAAGGACTGGGGATATAGTTCCATATAGTCTGGAGACTAACAAAATTAGAACCCAAAGAGCCACAATTATACTGACAAAAGTGTTATCCCAGTTATACTACGGAAGCAACTAATTAATAATTAATAATCTCTTATTAGTATTATCATACTGATGAACTCAGAATAACCTCTTCCATTTGGGAATAATTCTGTATGTAAATTAAATAATATATTTACATATAGTAAGTCAAATCTTATTTTAAATCTAAATCTCAACCACATGGAATATAAACTGACTTGGAAGGTTAAGTTCCCTAGATATCAAAGTATACCCAAGCATATCTATTATATGATTTTGATTTATCTAAAAGCCATGAATTCCTCCTATTTTATTAAACATGTAACACTAGACAGTTTCCTCATATATTTTAAAAGACTTAGGGCTTATATACCTCAGTGATATATGTCTTATGTAGTTTAAAAAAAATAAATAAAATGTCTGACTGAACTGTACAGGAAGCTATCTTGATGTTAAACATCTATGGGTCCATTGTGCTTTGGAGCTGAACATTTTTAAGATGTTTTCTCTTCTAGCAGTCAGGCTGGCAATGTGCCCTCCTTCTAAATTGTAGTTTATTAAGCAAGGATTTCAAAACCAGGTAATTAAACTTGACTGAAGTGGTATATAAAAGCAATAGACTGGGCTGGGGATATAGTTCAGTTGGCAGAGTGCTTGCCTTGCATGCACAAGGCCCTGGGTTCAATCCCCTGCACCACTAAAGAAAAAAAAAAAAAACACAGTAGACTGAGACAAGGAGAGACGCTTACCTCTAAACAACCACAAGAGTTTTAGTGCATAGGCTAAAGGAAATGAAACTAAAGCCTTCAGGGAAGTGTTACAATTTGGTGAAAGTACTGAAAAATTAAATTTCAAATAGATGTTTATAATTATATTTAAGCTGATTCACAAGCATCTACTGATTATCAACCTCTACACATAACATTGAAAGAGTTTCTCCCTCTCCACAGATAACATTTTACTGTTTGAGTCTTTAAAACTGCTGATTTAGTCACACTTGATTTATTCCTGCTCTAAAAAAATAAAAACCCTCACTAGTCCCAAAGAGTACTGGTGAGATCAGGTCTGGCTAGCCACTTTCTATCCCTTATAAAGTCAAAGCGCCTCTAAAGATGAGAGACATTGCAAATAGAGACATAACAGCAAGAAAGCTGTCTTTCCTGCCCAGAAATAGCACTCTCTTGTTCCATAAACATTTATTCATTTGATAAAAATTTATTGAGCACCTACTATGTGCAAGGCTTCACACTAAGTGCTACAATACAGACAGTATGACAAAACTGTTCATATAATGTAGAATCAGAGCTAGTCCTTAATAGTTTTCCTGATATCAGAGAAAAAGAATGCTCCTCCTACCTGGTTCAGGGAGCTAAGAGCATTGGTAAAGTCTGCTATATGTCCTTTGAGCAACCCAGCAGAAATTTTTGTCTTCAAATCAGCCATTAAGTCAAAACAAATAAGGCACATTTTTAAAAAAAAATTCCCCCCTTTAATTGACCAAAGTAAATCCATGACATTTCATTTGGTAACCTGCTCAGAATTATAAAAATCATTCCATTTTGGCCCAGCCCATACTATCCAGGGCAAAACTTCCAGACGATTCTAATGCCATCTGGCTCTGTTCTTATAAACTGCATATAAAAAAAAAATCTTCAACATTCTAAATATGAGGCGCTCAGTGCAAAGCGTATCATAGCTGGATGTGACATTTACGTCCTTGACAAGCCTCGATTATCCAGGTCCTTTACCTGCACACACACAAAAAAAGAAAAAAGAAAAAAGAAAGTCAATTAAATTAATACTGATAACCAGGTCAACTTTGAAGAGTTTTTTCTAGTGAAATGGGTTCATCCAGAGCAGGTTGGATTATGTTTGGTTCTGCTGCCTGGTTTGACACTGTGAATAAATAAACATGGGTTAGAAGGTCTGGTAACATTGCTTAATCTTTCAGAGTATCTCTATGAGACATAGTAAATAATTTTCCCTTCACATTATCAAAGGCTCTCAATCTTTTCTTTTTTGTATCAGGGATTGAACTCAGGAGTACTTAAGCACTGAGCCACATCCCTATCCACTTCTTTTTAGTTTGAGACAGGGTCTTGCTAAGTTGGCCTCGCTATGTTGCTGAGGCTGGCTTAGAACTTGTGATCCTCCTGCCTCAGCCTCCTGAGCCACTGAGTTATACATGTGCAACACTGCGCCTGGCTCAATCTTTTTTTATGTAAGAGGTATAGCACTCATGTGATTACATGTCTCTTTTTACCATCAATTCCTCAGTAGGAGACAAGTAATGTAGTTCAGAAACAAACACACGAATTTTCTTTTTCTCTTCTCCCCCCAGGCCTGAGCACTGAAACCTTCAGATCTAAATAGCAACTGGAAAAAATGTTGCTGCACCAACTGCTAAAATGACAGCCACTGGGAGATCTACTCTAAGGATAACAGAATTTTAAAAGTAAAATTCTGAATGAATTGCAAGCTATCTTTCAGATACAGATGTCATCAGAATTACCCCCATTTAAGAAATATGGTGGCCTATTATTTAAGCACTAGAACCTATCTGCAAACATGAGGGTCACTTTCTAAAACAGTATAGCATCTGCTCACCTTGTATATCCTGACCAGCCAATGTTCTGTGGTATATGCTTCCTCCAGGACATCAAGTTCAAAGTCTTTATTACCAATCTCAGCATTTCGGACACGGTCAAAGCCTGGTGGGCGTTCTAGAAAGGGACAAAAAAGAATACAGTATATCTTCTACTACTTAGATTGTTATTACTCAGGCTGCAGTTTGATTAGACACTAGAGTCTGCAAAAAAAGAGCATCAGGTAGTAAGAGCAAATCAAGGTTACCCTGTTCAAGTTGATGTATTGCCAGAATCCATGGAGCTTATTTTTTCTAAGAGATAGGGGCTGACTTCCAAGCCCTTCTTTTTCTGAGAAATATCAGAAGCCTCTGTAACACACTACTAACCCTTCCATGGATCAGAAAATCTATCAGAAACCAAGGACCTGCATGTACTTCAGAAATTCTTTCAACATCCAAACCATGAAATTCAAGACCAAAGGAAAGACAACCTCATTAAATTCTTCTCAGTGTATTCATCTGAAGAAATGAAGTCTTCTGTCTGTCTATCCCTATATTCCTTTCCTCAGCAACATTCTTTACTGAGACACAACAAAAGATATCTGAAAGCACAGAATCTGGCGCTATACTGCCTGAGTTTGAATCCGGACCCTACCTCTTAGTCATGTGAAGTTGGCCAGTTTAGTAACCTACTGGCACCTCAATTGACTCAAAATGAAATAACAATATTAGCATCTACTTTCTGAATCACTGTGAGGATTAAATGAGTTAACAGATATAAAGCATTTAGAACAAAGCCTAAAAAACAAGGTTGCTAGCTATTTCTGTTACTGCGATTATTGTTAATGCTGTGAATCACTCACTGGCTTCTGTGTAGACCTGCCCAAAGCGGTAGTAACACATCTTGTACATAAGGCAGTTGAGCAGCACTGGAGAACCCTCACGGTCCACACGGAATTCCCCAGTTGGAGTATAATAGTCATTCTCCTTGATATGTTTGCCTGTGTCTGTGCTCCCTCCGATCCGAACCATCCAAAGAAACTTGTTGATATCTAGAGAAAAAAAACAAAAGAAACTGCTGCATCAAAAAGGTTGCTAGAGCTAAATAACCAAATGAAAAAGCTATGTAAGGAAATTTCCCATATTTTTCTAATAGGGAATGATACCATCCATTCAACTCTATATTAAAAACAGGAAAGACAATGTGTGAATAAAATATTTTTCCTCAAAATATATAATTTTTCTCAGAAATTATTAGACTCCTGAAATCCTATGCTATTGATCCAGTCTTATGCCACAACTGAAACTATTCTTACATATTAGCTGGGGACTGAGCTATTGAATATAGGAGCCACTAGCCAGATGACACTAATTAAGAACTTGAAATGTGGCTAATACAAATTAAAGGATGCTATAAAAACAAAATACACATCAGATTTCGAGGACTTAATACAAAACTCACACACAAAAATGGGTAAAACATATTAGTTATTTGTTAAATGTTTTGATATACTCAATTAAATAAAATTAATTTCAAGTATTTTACACTTATTTGATGTGAGAACTTAAAATGACTATGTAGATCCCATTGTATTTCTATTGGCCTATGCACTGACCCAAGGGATAGCAGCTTTACCAAAAAGGAAAATACAAGTTTGCTGCTCCCTCCTGAAATACAATTTCAAAGTCACTTACCTCCAAAGCACAAACATGAGAAGTCAACATTTCTGTGTCAAATATATTCCCAGATTCTATAAATACTGATACCACCATCAATTCAGGATATTTCTTAGATATGTCATTCTCTATTGTTTGTTTATAGTTTTAGAGAAATCAACTGCTCTGTTTAACTGAATGGTTAGTATAAAAAGTATTACTGATCCATAGGTTAGTAATTTTATATTAACCTTTTTTATTAAAAAGGGTTCCAAAGGATATTCCAGAGGTTAAGAAAAGACTCTGAATCCACACTGTTTGCTTTGGGAATTCTAGCACTTCCAATTCTAGCTGAGTGACCTTGAGCAAGTTATTTAACCTCTATGTGCTTCAGTTTCCTCATCTATCAAACTAGAAAAATAAGAGGGTTGCAAATAAAAGCACTAACTATATCGCTTTTCACAAGGTTAGCATTCATTGAACAACATTACTATCCTCCTATATCTATATTCTTTCCTTCATCTTATAGATGGAAATATTGAGACAGAGATTTGCCCAGATCATACAGACAGAAACAAGACCAAAAACAAAACTCAAGTTCAACTCAGTATCACAGAACTCTGACACTGTAGCTATCTGGCAAATACATCTGAGGCAAAAATCTGGCAACCTTACTAAATGAAGAGTGAAAACTAATAGGAAAGGCCTAGAGGATGTGGCTTCGTGTGATCCCCAACACCACCAAGATAATAACAACAGCAATAATAATTTCATAAAAATTAATTTTGAAGATACAGTTGTCTACAAAAAAAATTCAAATAAAGGTAATACTGTATCAACCTCTCTTTGGAGGGAATCTGGACTATGATCAGATTTAACTATTTTGTTTCAAATCTGCATTAAGTATTCAATAGAAGGTAAAATGAAATATGTGTTACACTGCAAAAGAGAAAAATTTTGTCCATGACCCGAACATTCAAAGGAAATTTAAATTAAGAACATTCAAGAAGTGCAATGAGATATGACGATGAAATAATGAAGCTTTTAAAAAATCATTCATACTCAAATGCCTATTATCACTTTAGAAAATGTCATTTTTTGCACCACTTAGCATAAATATATTCAAAACATTTGGAATTACTTATTTAAGATTGTCTGAGTGTGTAACTCTGCCAGAGTATATCTTTAGTCCACCAAGTGTCTGGAATTCAATCCTCAGCATCACAGAAAACATGATCACCTTCAGAGCCCAAGTCATGGGTTTTTGTTTTTTCACAGTGTTGCTTATTTGTTGGTTGGTTGCTTTTGTTTTGTTTTCTGGTACTGAAGATTGAACTCAGGGGCACTCAGCCACTGGGCCACATCCCCAGCCCTATTTTGTATTTTATGTAGAGACAGGGTCTCAGTGAGCTGCTAAGCATCTTGCCATTGCTGAGGTTGGCTTTGAATTCCCAATTCGCCTATCTTAGCCTTCTGAGCCACAGGGATTACAGGGGTACATCGACACACCCAGCTATAGTTTAGTTTTTAATAAACTCAGGAAAGACAAGAATAATGACTGGGGCCGGGTGTGGTGGCACACACCCGTAATCCCAGCAGCTCTGGAGGCTAATAGAGAAGGATCTTGAGTTCAAAGCCAGCCTTAGCAATGGCAAGGTGCTAAGCAACTCGTTGAGATCCTGTCTCTAAATAAAATACAAAATAGAGCTGGGAATGTGGCTCAGTGGCTGTGTGCTCCTGCGTTCAATACCTGGTACCTCCCCCCACCAAAAAAAAAAATGAATAATGACTGAAGTTGAGTTGGGACGTAAGGGAAGGTGGACAATTAAGACAATGCTAAATATCAAGATTTACTTTTTGGCTGGGCATAGGGGTGCATGCTTGTAATCCTCAGAGGCTCGGGAGGCTGAGGTAGGAAGACTGCAAGTTAAGGCCAGCCTTAGCAATTTAGGAAGACCTTGTCTCTAAATAAATAATGGGTCGGGGGTGCAGCATAGTGATAAAGTGCCTGGGTTCAATTCCCAGTACAAAAAAATTAAAAAGCCTAATATGATCCCAAGAGATAAGTCCAATGAGAAACAAATTAATACTGTCTTCTCTAATAGTTGTCACATGCATATTTTCATGTGTCTAGATAATGAGTGTTCTGCACTGATAATATTGTTTTTTGGAGGGTGGGGGCTGTCTATCTGCATTGTTTAATGGTTAGTATTTTATTTTCTTCTTTGAAAATAATAGTCTAGCTTCTAAAGATCATGGTTAACTAGTCAATCATTATTCTTTCACCTTAAAAGCATGGCATACTCTTTTCTGCTAAGATTTTCTTTATGAATGAGTGTTTTTCATGTAAACTTAAGCTATTAAACATCAATTTCACCTCATTAAATGTCTGATTTTCACAACATTTTTATGCTTTTACATGACCAATTTATTATGAAGAAGCAGCATCTCCATTTTCATTAAAATATCTATACCATCACTACATGTGCCAAATGAAAACTACAAATACTAACAAGTATATGCAAAGACATAGAACTAAGAATTTGCAGTCACAGGTAGTAGAAACATAAACAGGTACTCCACTCTGGGAATCTCTTTATCAGTATCTCTTTATTCTGTTTAAACTGAACAACAGACATTACTCCTAAACTAGTAATTCTACTCTTTGGAACATATTTCATCAAAAATATATTAGGGAATGTTCAAATCAGGATTATTCATAATAGCCTCAAAGTAGACACAGCACAAATATTCATCAACTCTAAAGTGAATATACTGTGCTACATTCACACAATGGAATACTATGCAGGAATAAAATTTAACAATTTACAACTATTCATAACCTGAATGAATCTCTTTTTTTTATCTTTAGCACTGAGGACTGAACCTAGGGAAACCATACTACTAACTATATCTTCAGTCCTTTTTGAGACAGAGTCTCACTAAATTGCTGGTACTGTCTTTGAACTTGTGATCCTCCTGGCTCAGCCTCCTGAGTTGCTAGAATTACGGGCATGCTACACTGTGCCTGGATCCACAATATGAATTAATTTTGCAAACATAATACTGACCAAAAAAAGTCAGAAGAGTATATATGGTATTCTCATTCATAAAGTTAAAAAACAGGCAAAACTTCATAGGTATATGCATATAACAAAATGTATCGAATGATACTTTTTAAATATGTGCAAGGTACAATTATGAAACAATAAATCTGTTTCAAAACTAAATAGCATTAGAAGCTAGGACGGTGGTCAGCCTTGAGAACTGGTGGTAGATATTGCAAGGAAGTATAAAGAATAATTCTACAATATTAGTAATACTCAACCTGGATTGTGGTTACGTGAGTGTGATTTTTCTCTAAAAACCCATCAAGCTATACACTTAACAATGTCTACTTCTTTTTAAATATACTCAATCCCAAGTTTACTTTAAACATCTGTATAACCAAGACTATTTTTGTTTTTTGGAACCAACATTTGAACCCAGGGTCTCTTAACTACTGAGCCATATCCCAGCCCTTTTTCTACTTTTTATTTTGAGACAGGGTCTCACTAAGTTGCTTAGGGTCTTGCTAAATTGCTGAAGATGGCTTTGAACTTGTAATCCTTCTGCCTTAGCCTCCAGAACCACTGGAATTACAGGAGCACCACCATGCCCAGTTAACCAAGACTTACTGACTTTAATAATATTTACTTTCATGCTAAGTTACTTTGTCGGGTATCATGTGCTAATTGCTAATTTCTAGAATTTCACACACAAAAAATATTTTCCAAAAATTACACTCATTTTTATTCCAACATTATAAACATAATCTTCCATTCATCTCAACAAGCAAAAAAATATTGTTAGCAATGGCTACTTAAGCTAAGACTTCTGGGGACTATCCCTTTCTACCACACATATGCATACATACATACATAAATACAACATGCATGTATGTACATATTTACACACATACACAGATATACATAAAAATTTCTACAGACTTAGAAATGTTGTTATTATAATAAAAAGAAAACCGAAAAATAATTGCACACAACCAAATAGTGCTGGTGCAATTGTTTGTGAAAACTGAAGTCTGGTGACAGGTCCCTACTATAAAACATGATATAGTTTTATTACTTATATACTATCTGGATGGAACTGTCATGTGCCTATATCAGAAACTAATCTAAAATAAGAACACATCTTGGGGATTAGCTCAGGGGTAGACTACATGCTCAGCATGAGCAAAACCCTAAGCTCAAACCTCACCACCAAAAAGAAGAAAAAAAAAAGAAAGATAACCACAAAGTAATCATTAACTGCAGGTAAACAAGTTATAGTGTACTAGTTGACTCAGCAGTCAATAATATTTAAAAGTCATGATTCTGAAACCACTTCTGGATTTAATCAACAATTATAAATTAACTATGCTAAGAAATGAGAAAGGAAAAGGAGAGAATATGAAATAAACTGCAAAACTCTTTGTTTATGATAAGAAATTTATAAAGTATATCTATAATTGACCAATCACTGAATATAGCAAAATATACATACTACTTAAAATTATGAGGGGCTAGGGGTATGATTCAGTGGTAGAGCGCTTGCCTTAACATGCACATGAGATTCAATTTCCAGCACCAAAAATAAATAAATATTAGGAATAACTGCTTCTGGGGATTGGTGTTAAAGAGGCTCCAGTTTAGGGAGTACGATAATTCTTCATTATAAACCTTCAGAATTGTTTTAACTTTTTAAAAAATTAGCAGGGATTACGTTAATCTTGTAAATTTTATTTTTAAAGCAGTAAACTATATTTTCATGTTTCTTATAAAAATATCTTTTTGCCAATTATCATAAAGAACATGGTAATATTTGCCCTTTTATAGATTCAGTTGTCACTCAGTGTCTATAGGAGATTGCTTCTAGGACTCCCCATAGATACCAAAATCTACAGATGCTCAAGTCCTTTAAATAAAATAGTGTTTGCATATAGCTTACATCCTCCCATATATTTTAAATCATCTTTAGATTACTTATAATATCTGATACAACATAAGTATTATGTAAATACATTTTATACTATACTGTTTTAAGAATAATGATAAGAAGAGTCTGTACATGTTTAACACAGACACAATTTTTTTCCCCAAATATTTTCATTGAATTCATGGATGTATAACTCATGAATAACAGGGCTGTGTGTATGTACATATGTTCATGTGACACTTATATATACATACAATATATACATACTTTTTATATGTAAATGCATTTCATACCTACATATATTTAAAAAACATTTTTTAAGCTAACAAATTATTACATGGCTTAAATTGATTAAATAATGCTAATTCTTAAGTTCATTTTCATAAGCCTTACAGTCTTAGTTTTACTACTTGGGGAACTACTGTCTTTAGACAATCATAGCATCTCATACTATGAGAAGGAAAGAAAGGACGGGGAAAACAAAACAAAACAAAAAGAAATGAAGTCTTGGTTAGAGTAGTAAGGAGAGTCATCTAGTTTTCTTATAATCTATGCCTTAGCATGTGTGAGGCTCTGGGTTCAATTCTCAGCACCATATGTAAATAAAGGTCCACTGACAACTAAAAAAATTTTTTTTTAAATATTAATAATAATAATCTATGCCCTGCAGTTAGAAATGGAACCAAGTACATTACCATCAGAGGAATACCCAGTAAGGCCTCCAAAAATGACAAGCACATAGCTGACATCAAGCTCCCTCATGATCTCATAGGCTTTTTCTTCAGAGGATGCCATTGCCTAGAAAAATGAATGTATAATCTTCAGAACAAAATCTCAAATCATGAGATTTCTTCATGAGGAGTATTTTCCACTAGACTGTGCATATCAAACATTCAAAGGATCCCTTAACTTACCTGCCCTACTCGAGAAATATGGGTATTATTCCATGTATTATTGTCCACTAAAATTGTCCTGTTTGCCATAGCTGTAATCTGGTAGCCATAATCCCACCATGACATGACCTTTGCATCCTGAAAGAATAGTAAAAGAAACAACAGGATTCTTACTACCCTAAAAATCAAATGCAAAACAAAGAGTGGTAGGACATCTGTGGTCTGACAGAAAGTGAGGCATGGCTCATTAATCAATTTCTTCACAACATAGTACACTCCTAACCAGAAAATAAATGTTGGTATCTTTTCCTCCATTTATATACAATCATGAAAACTCAGCACAAGTTATATACAATCCAACATTCCCAAATCACTTTATATAAACAAGCACAATGATGTGGGATGTGTAGGGGACTGTGCAATACATTAAATGATACTTAAGTGATAGCTTAGTATCACTAAGTAACTTTATTAAATAAATGACCTCCTAACAATATAACAAAAATCAGTTATTATAAAATGGGAGGAAAAACACAAAATCACAAGATTTGATGGGCAGGGATTAAGAGACTTTTAGTTCTGAGGCTACGGTTCTAGCTAAGTAGTAGAGCACTTGCTTAGCATGTGTAAAGCCTTAGACTCAATCCCCAGGCACTACCAAAAAAAAAAAAAAAATATTCTGGTTTTGACTCTTAACAAATATGCTCAGAAATGCCATGTTCAATAGATAGTCCAAAAGAAATGAATTCAGATTCTCAAAAGGTAATAAACTAAAATGTTAAAAAGTACTTATCATTAAGTGTTAACTTTATGGAAATAATAACATGTATTCTAGAACTGAGGTTGTGGCTCAGTGGTAGAGCGCTCACCTAGCATGCATGAGGCACTGGGTTCAATCCTCAGCACCACATAAAAATAAAATACTGTGTTCACCTAAAACTAAAACATAAATATACAAAAAGAAAAAAACATAAAACATGTATTATATATTTTTAACTTTTTTTTTTCCCAGTACTGGAAATTGAACCAGAGGTATTTTACCACTGAGTTGTATCCCCAGCCATTTTTTAAAATTTTGAGACAGGGTCTTGATAAGTTTCCCAAACTGGCCTTGAACTTGTGATCCCCTTGTCTCAGTCTCCTAAATTACTGAGATTATACATGTGTACCACCATGATCAGTTTTTCTTTTATTACTGGGAAGGATGGTCTGTTTCATATCAAACCACCAACATATCAATGCAAGTGGCCATGGAAAGTTTAGATAATTAAGATTCACTACAGAAGAATTACCTGAATTAAATGGAAGTTGGCCTTTAAAGTTTATTCAAGACTAGATTTCTAAAGTTCCATTTTCTCCAAACTTTCCACCTTTCTCAAAGCTACATGATTCACTATAATATCCAGTGTTTCCCCCTTAATCCCTACCCCACAATTGCATTCCTCCCAAATTTTCACCTCTGGAGTATTGTGACGAAGCCAATAATATGCTTCTCGGAAGTCATCAAAAATGATCCTACTGCCATCCCCACCCCGGGCAGACAATACAATGGAAGGAGAAGAATAGGCCTCGCTGGTCACCCAGGTTGAATGAAAGGTGTAGGTGATGAGAAAAAAAGCCATGACCAATATCATCCCACTTGCCACCTAAACAAGGAAAAAGAATTACATAATAAACCAAACTAAATTAATAGGACAATTTCTATATATAGACAATATAAACGAGATGAATCAAAATAAGTCAGAGGTTACCTGAGTTTATTCTAACCACCTATTACAATGCTCTAATTTACTCTCCCACTCAAAAACACAAACATACATATCACTCACACACACACACACACACACACACACACACACAGGCAATTTCCCAAATCTGCTATACTGTCATTTAATTCTTACTTCATTCTTAATAGGGTAAGTAGAATCCTGTTGCTTCTTGCTTTTCTTGTCTGGGCGACTTATGTCCAGATTCTTCATATATGTGGACAGCACCTGAGAGACTCCAATGCCAGAAAGAATGCACATAACAGGTGCTAACACCAACATTAGACGTACCTAAGAGAGACAGGAATCATCAGTCTAACCAACATTTTACAATTACAGATTTCATTCTATTAGTAAATATGACATCAATTTAGAGGTTTTCATCAAACATGATTTTTCAGTAAAGACAGAAAATGTTTGGGATAACAACAATAAAAGTATATAAACTCTGTCACAGGTACTTATGTATACATATGTGTCTTGAGAAATACAAAATACATTCCTAATTGCGATTTGGAATCAAAACAGTGTTAGAAACATTGTCTTAAAATCCCTCCTCTCTTTTAACTATCTATCTCTAGATAGTACTCCCATACCTTCAAGTAAAAAAGCATCATCTCCCTTTTTAAGTCACCCAGGGTCAAATTCTTCAAAAAAATGCAAAACTGCCTTGCTACACAAGGTTATGAACCCAAGAAAGCAAAACAACACAACCAGAATGTATGAGGGTCTTGGACATCCCTAGCGAGAATCAATAATAGCAAGTAGCTCTACAACTCAGCCCCTCAAGTGCTCAGAAGGAAACATCTATACAAACTTTACTACTTTCTGAATCCTACCAGGAAAAAACAAAAACAAAAAAGCATCTCAGAGTTAAGAGTGAAAAGTTTTGCTAAGACTGAGGGAGTTCCTCACCATTACAGCTGAAAAGTACATGCTGGTCACACCATACATGATGATAAAAATCCGGGCATCAGACAGGTTGCTAAAGCAGTAATAGAGACCAACTACAAAAGAGGGAAGGAGAAGTAAGCAGATGAGCCCTATAGGCAGAAACCTACAAGGGAAATTATCTTCATTATATCACTGGATGATTCCACACATTTAACTCAGCAATTCCACTTCCAGGAATTTATCCTAAAAAAAAAAATCATAGAAATGTGCAAAAGATGTTTACTGTCACAAAAATTGAGAAACAACCTAAAATGTCCAGCAAAGAAGCTAGTTAAAAGCATATTTTTAAAATGGAATATATCAATTAAGACACTGCTGCATAGGGTTATGGACTATTTGCCCTTTTACACATCTTTATGCATCTTGTACTGAAACAATAAAACTAATGAATGATATATCTTAAATATTTCTATAAAATAATGGGCTAGGGATGTGGCTCAAGCAGTAGCGCGCTCACCAGGCATGTGCAGGGCGCTGGGTTCGATCCTCAGCACCACATAAAATATAAAGATGTTGTGTCCGTTGAAAACTAAAAAATAAATATTAAAATAATAACAATAATAATAATAATAAATTACAAGGAAATTAAATTTTTTCAGTGCTAGGAATTGAAACTAGAGTCTTGAGCATGCTAAGCAAGTACTCTAGCACTGAGCCACATCCTCAGCCCTACCATGATTCTTCAGGATCAGCGGAAAAAACTGTACGATCTTATTCTTATTCAATAAATAAGTAAATGAATATACACTGATATCCACAATATCAATAAGTGGATAAATACAAATTATCAATAGTAGCTAGAAATAGGTGGTAAGAACTCTAATTTTTACAATTTTTTTTTACTTATTTATATTATTTTACAATACACAAATACTTCCATAATAAAATAAAGTACAAGTTATTTTATAAAAGACCACTGACATTGGTAAGTTCTAAAACATATCTGAATTGGCCAGAAGATAATGAAAATGCTCTACAGTTTGTAATGCCATTATGAAACTTCAATACTACAAACAGGAGAAATTAGATGAAGTCAGGAGTATATGCCAGAAATACTACAAAGAAAAAGAAAGAAAACAAAAAACAAACAAACAAACAAAAAAACCCAAATAAGAAGTAGAGTTGAATTTTAATATAAAACAAATAAACAGAAAGTTATGAAGAACTGAGCTTGCCAATATCTGTAACTTCAACTTCTGACTCCTACTCTGCTTCAAATATCTGGAAAATGTGCTTAGCCATCCTCTGTCCTGCACAGCATAAACAGGCAAATAAGAACAAAGATGAGGGTAGTTGACATTTTTAGAATCAAATGGTGATTCTATGAAAAAGGCCACTTCAGAGCACAAGGTAAACAGACCTGGAAACATGAAAACGAGGAGCTGCAGATCAAAATAGTAGGAAGACCAGGTTGTGGGCTGATGCTCGGACACAGAAGCAATGATGGGGATGTTGTTCTTAGCATAAGAAGGATCCAGCAGTGAGTAGAAACGCCCCGTCCATGGAGATATTTTTCCTGGCAGCAAAGAAGCAATCAATATTTCACTTACACTCCTAAAACAAACATCCTAACCTAACTAATCACAACATCTCATTTTAATAACACTCTTAGAGACAGAGAAGGACTAAGTTTTTGCTTCAGTGCCACCAATAATACTAAAGAGTTTCACTCCTTTTCCTTCAAACTTGAGCGTACTTGAGTCAACATCACCAGCAGAATAAGAATTGGGCTATATATAAATTCAGAGAAAAAAATGAAGGCAAAAGAGCTTCCTGAAAAGGTATTATGCCTAATCTGGAAAACTCCAGAGATTAAATAAACTATGTCCTCTAGTCCCACTCTGAATTAGACAATACTTGGGTAAAAACAAATTAGCTTCTGAGAGTAGAAAAAAAAAAAATGAAGGAGGAAAATGTGGCAGGCTAACCAATATGAATGGCCATGATTAAGTTCCCATAGGGTTAGATGAGTGCCATGATATAAGGTATCACAAGGAATGTAAGAAGGTCTACCAACCAATAGAAAAGAAAAAGATTAGCAAGGTAAGATACAGTTCTTTCACTATGTGTAATTAAAAGTAGCTCTAATAAGACATTTTCTGCTATGGTAAATCTAACACTGGGGATGACAAGAAAATTGAATATAAAAAAGCAAAACTTTAGTATTTGAAATAAAGAGAAACAGGAATAAAAGAAAGAATCTCCTATGCTCAGGAAATACTCTTTTTGGAGTTTATTTTATGTATCCATTTTCATTTAATACTAGATGCTAAGATCCCACCCTACCTGTCAGCATGAGGAGAGCTCCCACAGTGAGTAGGACAAAGCCTACCAGGGATATGACACTACGGAAAAGAACTTCAAATTGCTGTGGATTTAATTTGCTGCGCAGGTAATCCACAAAGGCATGGATCTGGCAAAGACCAAAGACTCCAAAGGCTGCCATGTGCTCTGATGAAAGGACAGGCTGTAGGGAAAAAGCATTATATATGGTAATAATATAGCCCAGACCCTTATTACCCTGATCTATTTTAGGGGTCAAATAAGTTCTGAAGTTTCCCAAAGGAATCAGTCCAATCTAGGCAAGGGTTTAATTCATCTGACATATTTTCCAAATATACATAGAGTCCCCCAAAACATACCCCACACCATCTTAATCACATCTCTGCCTATTGCTCAGGCTATTTCCTTGGCTTGGTCTGCAATTTTCCTGAAACTTCCTTTCATTGAAATTCTCATCATTCAAGATCCAACCAAAACAATACCTGAAGAGGCTGAAAACTCTATTAAATCTAACACTCACCTGGAAACCCACAAAGGAGATCTGCATGGAAAGAATGGTGCCCAGGCAGTAAACTGTGCAATAGGCCACATAAATCCGGTGGGAGAAACGACCTGTGAGCATCAGCACCAGAACATGAAGAGGAATCAAGTTGATCAGGAACACATAACCTCCCCATGAGGAAACCTATGGCAGGGAAAAATAAAAACAGTTCCTCTGAGCACTCCTCTTCAGGTCACCACCATTATACTTTAGGATGTCTCTTGTGAACTTTCTAAAGCTTACTTGTTTACATAATGACTGACTTTACTTATGTCAAGTGGCTTAAAGAGTTTAAATAGGCCAGGCACACTGGCACACACCTGTAATTCTATCGACTCAGGAAGCTGAGGAAACAAGATCATAAGTTCCAGACCACCCCTGGCAACTAAGAGAGACCCTATCTCAAAATAAAAAATAGAAAGGATTGGGATATAGCTCCATGGTACAGGATCCCTGGATTCAATCCCTAATACCACACGCTCACATACAAAAAAGTTTAAATAATTGATTTTTGGGGGGTGGGGTAGAAAAATCACACCCCATTACTATAAGTTAATTGCCAGCTCCCTTATGGCTACTAGCATTATAGTAAGACATACCCAAGCATCAGAGTAAATCTAGATGCAATCCACTGTATGGTCCCATAGAGAATTTAGGGATATATAAGCAAGTAGAAGTAGTTAAAGGAAGAAAGTCTAACTAAACAGAAAAAAATATATATTGGAAAAGTAAAGTTTTAAGGAAAACATAACCAGAAAAGGTTGATCAACTAGTATGTACCCACAAGAAATAGTTAAAGAAATTTAAAATCTGGACACTGTGGGAACCTGTAATCCCAGCAAGTAAGAAAGCTAAGGCAGGAGATCACAAGTTCAAGGACAGCTTCAGAAACTCAGTGAAACCCTGAGCAACTTAGTGAGATCCTGCCTTAAAATAAAAAATTAAAAGGCTGGAGATGTAGCTCAGTGGTACAAAAGTGCCCCTAGGGTCAATCCCTAGTGCTGGTTTAAAAAAAAAGAAAAGAAAAGAAAAAGAAATTCAAAAATGAAAAACATGTAGAGAGGTTAGGGATATAATTCAGTAGTAAGGCATTTGCCTAGCATGTGTGTGTGCAGCCCTGGGTTTAAGCACATATAGAAAAAGTTACCATGTAGAAATAAGCAAGAGCACACTTGGCTGCCCAATAGATAGAACCAGTCTTCACTGCCTTGATCCACATGTAGTAGGTGAGGAGCATGCAAAAGATGGCAATCCCTGCAGAAAAAAAAAAAAAAACACCAAAAATTCAAGAGGCTATGCCAGCAGAGTGGCTAAGAATACTGTTTTGAAGCAGACTGCCTGATTAAGATCTTTTATCTACTACTTAGTAATACTGTGATTTTAGGTAAATTATTTTACCTCCCTTTGTCTCATTTTCCTATTAAAAAAGATGTCTGATATAGTAGCTACTTTATAAATCTGTTGTGAAGATAAATATAAATAATGCACATAAAGAATTTAGGTTGGGTGCCATGGCACACACATGTAATCCCAGAAGCTCAGGAGGTTGACAAAGGAAAATCACAAGTTCAAAGCCACCTTCAGCAATGGCAACTCAGTGGGACCCAGTCTCTAAAAATAATGTACAGAATAGGGCTGGGGATGTGGCTCAGTGGTCCAGTGCCCCAGAGTTCAATCCCCAGTATTCCCCCACTCCTCCCCCCAAAAAAGAATTTAGAACAGTAAGCACTCAGGAAATGTAAGCCAATATTATTTTTGTTCTTTCCAGACATTATATTTCCTGCTACTTCTAAAGAAGTACTATACTATCATGTGCTGTCCTGCCTCTAGATCGTAACATAAGCTGGCTCTGGTTGCAACTCATCTTAATATCTACCTAATGAAGTATTAAGGTCAGGGCCCAGTTCAAACTCAATCACTTCCAGAAAGCTTGACGACAAAAACCCAAGATAATCTCTCCTTGTACTTACTTCATTCTAAAGTAGTCTTTATATTTTTATCAGAGCACAAAGCACTATATGCCTGTTACTAGAGTAATTTTTTTTTAAAGAGAGAGAATTCTTCAATATTTATTTTTCAGTTTTCAGTGGACACAACATCTTTATTTTATTTTTTTTATGTGGTGCTAAGGATTGAACCCAGAGCCCCACACAAGCCAGGCAAGCGCGTTACCGCTGAGCCACATCCCTAGCCCTAGAGTAATTTTTATAGGTCCATTTTTATCGTACCAGATTATGGGCCAACATAATATTTATACTCTCTATCCCTGGGCTGGGGAATATAGCTCAGGTGGTAGAGTGCTTGCTTCGCATACACAACACCCTGAGTTCAATTCCCCAGCACCACAAAACAAAACAAAAATACTATAATCTATCCCTTTAATTTAATTATGAGCCAAAATAATCTTATTCATTATCTATCTTTATAATATTTAACAGTCTTCCAGAAAACGACTTTCAATACATTTAGAATTTTAAAAGTCATTATAATTTTTAAGGATAAATATATCCCTTTATCTAAGAAAATCAAACAAATAATTATAATGTTAAAACAAGAGTTAACTCTTGAGTCCTGAGATGAGCCAAAAGCTTATAGATTTACCGGTTACCTCTCTAGCAGGAATTTCTGGATAAAACAAACTTGTCCAAGATCCCTTCTTGCTCATTTCTAAAATTCTTACCAAGTATCATTTTTATTATTGCTAAGCCTTAGATCTGACCCAAATTCTAGGGTACTTTGTGAAATTCTATTGGATGATGAAGTTAATGAAGTGAACAGACCCCCTTTAGCATTTTACATGTCTACCTTCATTATCATAGGAACCAGCCACAGATCGGGAGATATATCCAGGAACTACAGCAATCATGGCAGCAGCAAGAAGTCCAGCCCCTGCATCCTAAGAAAAAATAATAAGAGTTAACACCAATACATCTATGAGAGAGAACAAATAACCAATAACCCGCTAGTCTATTCTGATTAAATGGGCCTAGAGAGCACCCAACAATTTCCAAGGTAGATGTGAAGTACTACAAATGCTCACAGCACCAAGAAAGCTAAAACTTTTATAATCAAGTTCCCATGACACCAAGTCTAAAACTGAGTACACATATACTGAGGACAGATTAAGTCACATGAGCTACCTAAATATCAGCACTTGCCCCAGAATGTGCTATTTGCTTTTTTTTTTCTTTTTAGTTATACATGACAATAGAATGTATTTTGTACATTTTGTACATACATGTAGTATAACTTCCCATTCTTGTGGTTGTACATGATGTGGAGTTATACTGGTCATATATTCATATTTGAACAAAGGAAAGGTATGTCTAATTCATTCTACTGTCTTTCCTATTCCTATCCCCCACCCTTCCTCCAATTCTCCCTGTCAAGTTTGGTAAAGCTCCACTCCCACTCCCCATTGTGAGTTAGCATCCGCATATTAGAGAGAACATTCAGTCTTTGATTTTGGGGGATTGGCTTATCTCACTTAACATGATAGTCTCCAGTTCCATCCATTTACCATCAAATGCCATAATTTCATTCTTCTTTATGGCTGAGTAACATTCAATTGTATATATATACCACCCAACCCTGGTGAGCTACATTCCCAATCTTTTTTTTTTTTATATATATATTTTTATTTTGACATATGGTCTCCCTAAATTGCCAAGGCCTTGAACTTGCAACCATTCTGCTTCAGCCTCCTGAGTTGCTGGGTTTAAGACATGCACCATTGTACCTGGCTACTTTTAGGGTTTTTTTAGTTTGTTTTTGTTTTATCATGCTGGAGATTGAACCCAGGGATTTGCTCATACCAGGAAAACACTCTACCACTGAGCCATGTTCCAAGCCCACAGAATTGGCTGTTTGACTACAAGTATCCCCAAGCTAATCAGTTCCTTCCTCTAACAATGACTGCACAGGAATACCAGCCATACCTCTAAAAGCCATGCAATGATGAACAAAGGAAGAAAATCATTATGTAAGTCAAAAAGGCAAAAGGGATAAGTGATAATCCACCTAAACTGAAGATACCAGGAACATAAGTAATAAAGCTGGAGTATCACCAGGCAACTTTTGAGCTCAGGAAAAAAGTAGAAACAAAATAAACTCACATTCCAAAAGAAAAAGGGTTTGTCTGTTGATAAGTGTCAAATTTGGGACAAGGGCAACAAGGAGAAGGATGAAAAGTTTCCCAAACTAAACTCAGGCTTCTAAAGTTCTCCTACTAGTTTATCCCCCAATTACCACAGCAACACACTAAGAATAGATTCCAGGGAACCAGGGTCAGCAAAGCTGAAACCTGAAAAAAGAGCCAGCACTTAGGGAGAGAAGCCAAATGGCTTAAGAATTTTAAAATAAATGCTAAATAAATAAATAATTTATAAGTACTTATTTCCTAAGGAAAGAACTAACTACCTTAGAAAATTTTTTGTGTAGTTGTTTTTTTTTCTTCTTTGTTACATTGTAAGGGCTTCAAAATCAAAATCTCACATTATGCATTTTAAGTTTTGTTTTGTTGATGGGGGTAGTGGGGAGTACTAAGGATTGAACCCAGGGCTGCACATATGACTGGCAAGTGCCTTATTAATGAGCTATAGCCCCAGCCCTTTTTACCTTGAGACAGAGTTGCACTAAATTACCCAGGATGGTTTCAAACTTGAGAACCTCCCGCCTAAGACATGTGCTAGCTTTTTCTCTCTCTCTCTACATAGCAATTTACATTTGATTTTCAAATATCCTCGCCTATGGGCAAATTGCAAATGATAAGAACCACATATTCTAGGAGGGGTTGGAGTAAACTCAATGTAGCCTAGCAAACACTGTCCATAGACTCTGGCTTCCTGTAAGACTCTCAGTTCCCCACCCTCTAGCATCAACAAGAAGGGCTGAGCAACATTCATTCTCAAGTCTCCTATCACCCCAAATCCTTCACCTTGAGCTCTTTGGTAAGGTGGTACGTGACGATGGTGGTGAAGGAAGAGAAGAGTGGGGCCAGGAACACACAGACATTCCGAATGTCGATGGTGATGTGGAAAAAATGGAGAACATGGTAGATTGCAGCAGAGGTGATCATTAAGCCTGAAACAGGAAGGAGAAACTCCATTAGGTTGTCCTGGTAAGACAAAGAACTTCAAGGAAAGAGAAAACATCAATAAAGTCACGACATAGGTCTTGACAAACAACCAGAAACACTAACACAGCAACTGCAGTAGACCTCTAAATTTCTTTTCTAAGCATTCAATGAAAAGTCCAGAATATACAAAAAAACATGCATCACCACTTTCCTACACATGTTCTCCTGTCTTACATAAGATAAACCATTAAAAAAATCTATAATCACAATGAAATTATAAGTGTCATGAAATAAAACTATTAGAAATATAAGAAACTATTATATACAAATACAATCCTGTTAAAAAAAATTTTTTTTAATTCTGTTCTTCTTACCTGGATAAATTGTTCCTCCAATGATTCGTCCCAAAGGGTACCAGGCCCGGTCATCAAACCAGTTATGGAATTTATAAAATCCCTCCTCAGCCAGGAACCGGGTAGTCCGATAATTAAAATACCTATACCAAGTAAGAAAAGATTTGTGCCTCCTCTTCTTCCTACCCAAATACTCATTCATGAAAAAAAAAATTTAAGTTGATTTTGGAGGTCCCAAAGAGAATATCTACAATGCCTCTAAAATGCTTTCCATTGTCTTCACAAAATGATAAGTCTGCATACCAATGTAGGCATTAAACTTTTGAACCAATGTTCCAGCAGGTAAATATTTTTAAGATACTTCAAGAACCTATGATTCTGGCTTTCCAAACATTTCATAAGCCTTAACTTGAGGTAACATAGTGACACTGGTCTCTGGAGTCAGACAAATCCACATTCATCTTGGCAACTCCATTAATAAATTGTAACTCTGGATAACCTCTCCAAGCCTGAGCTTCCTCGTTTATTAAAAAAAGGAGGACCTACATCTTATTGTTTTCTATAAGGATTTAGAAATAATCTATAAAACAATGCTTGGAACAAAATGAATCTCAAGTTCATGACTTTTAATTTTCTTCTGAGCTCTGAATATACACCAGGTCCCTTTCTGTCAATCTGCATCTGTAACTTTGACCAAACTCAGAAGCTAGATTTCTCTTAGCCTAGTCAGATCTTAAATGACAGGCAAGTCACACCAGCAATGCTTCTCACATTTTTTGAGTTTTTCTAGACTTAGCTGGTCAATTCCAACAGAAATGCTTCAAAAATATGGAAAACTTCCAGGATTTTCCTCTTAAATGTACTGAAAGCACATCCCATCACTGAGAGCTGACTTAAATCTGAATCTGAAAACCACGAACCTGAATACCTCCAAAGGAAAATACCAGACCAAGCAAAGGTACTCACGGATCGAACTCATGGATAACACTTTCGAATCTCAGGACAGCAAAGAGACGAGTGGAGAAAGCTACAAAAATTAGAAAATAAATATTTTAATGTCAATATGCCATGAAAACAACAGCCAATAAATAATAGCATTATAAAGAAAACAGAATTATTCAACACAGGGGTCACATAAAAAATAAAATAATTCCTCAATAAAATCTATATCCATCAGTCCCCACACAGAGGGAAAAAAAAAGGTCTGACACTGGAACTACATTTTCCACTTACGTAGGACACATTTAATCACCTATTAAATTGTTTCTAGTAAACAAAACCTATTAACATTACATTTACCTACTAATATTCAACTCAGCTCACAAGGTCATCTTTTATAAATGCTGACACCCCACACACACACACAAAAAAACGAACCTTAATCTTGGAGCAACGCAAGAGTATGTCAAACATGACTATATTTATGACTCATGAAGAACTTGAAAATTTATAAAATAAGTTCTCAAGGACTATCAAAACTACTAAGTATCTAAACTGAAGATAACTGTCCTCTACAAAATTCAGTGAACAATCCCCATTACCTCTTTCAGCCCTATGAGAAAAAAGAATTAGTATGCTTTCATTCTTTCCCAGAGGATTGCCAGTCCTTTTATATTCCTTGTTTCTTTTATTTTGCCTAGAAAATTATCATGAAGGGGAAATGCAAAAAGAACAAATTACCATCCATTAGAAGAACAAAGCATTTAGCCAGGTGCAGAGGCACACACCTAAAATCTTAGTTACTTGGGAGCCTAAGCCAAAAGGATCACAAGTTGAGGCCAGCCTGGACAATTTAGCAAGATCCTATCCCAAAATAAAAAATAAAAAGGGCTGAGGATGCAGCTCAATGGTAGGACCTCCCTGGGTTAAATCCCCAGTTCCATACACACACACACACACACACACAACAACAACAACAACAACAACAAAAAAAACACAAAAAGCATTTTAAGAAAGCCATGTTTTACTTTTTTCAGCATTTTCTTCTCATTCCCAAAGAAATGGAGACCCAGGTACATACTCACATAACACAGCAGCCATTGATAGAATGAGAAGCTTCAGAAGAGTGTCCTGCTTCTCATAGGACAATCGCAAAAATCCAAGCTTAGTCATCTTGACATCGATGGGTCACAACAGAAGACACTCAAATAGCTAAAATGGAAAAGTCAAGATCATAGGATACTGAACACCCTCCATTTACTTAACTTTCGTCTTATAAACAAGAAGAGAACCATAATGGACATATGAGCTAGCGAAAAGAGAACAGGCGGTCAGGCCTAGTACCAATACCCAAACCTTGCCTGAAGTATGATATACTGGGAAGGAAGTAGACACAATCAGATCTATGAGATAAAACTAAAAAGGAGTCCGGTGTGGTTGTACACGCCTGTAATTCCAGCATCTTGGGAGTCTGAGGCAAGACAATCACAAGTTTGAGACTAGTCTCAGCAACTTAGCAAAGCCCTGAACAACTTGGCAAGAACCTGTCTCAAAATAAAAAGTAAAAAGGGATAAGGATATGGCTCAGTGGTTAAAATGCCCCTAGGTTAAATCCCCAGTACCCCAACCCCCTCCCCCAAAAAAATGTAAAAAGAAATGATCTAAAGAAACCACTCATGTTTAAGCCTCCCACTCCTTCACATCTAAGTACATAAATACAACTGTACATAAGTACAACTGGCAATAGTATCATATAACAAAAGCAGGGCTAGGGAGCAGCTCAGTAGCAAAACACATGGTGAGCATGCTCAAGGCCCTGGGTTCAATCTCTAGCACCATAAAAACAGTAATAACAAAATAGTATGGAAGGGAGAGTGGCAAAAATAAATAGGAAAGATGAAAAATGAGAAAAAATATGAAGAAAACACTCAGAAAAAGTCAAATATATGGGGAGTAAGAAATGGAGAGTAAACATTAAGTACAGAAGTGAAAGTAAAAAGAGGAAAAAACAGAAATCATGACTGAGTCAGCACAATTTCAAGCCCTAAATATAAGATTCAATTGACTGGCAACAAGCTTCTTTCTTTTCCAAATCTCAACAGGACTGTAGGGTTAACCAAAAGCCATGATTGATCATTAATGCAAGTAAAAGTATGCACCCAAGAGGGGAACATAAACATACACAGACCACTGTACTTTTAATCCCTATATGACAATGCAACTTCTGCACAGATCTATTAAATCATCTGTTTCAAGGCCTCTCTGTAACTGACACTGCTGATTTAAAGCGACTGATTCCATGACACAGAGATAATTCATGGAACCAGATGCTAATCTTGAGGGAAAAGAAAAAAATTGTTCCTACTGAAGCAGAAAAAGGCAGGGGGAGGGGAAAAGTAAATTAAAAGAAAATGTTCAGGAAGTAGTTATAGAATATTAAAAAAGGTAATACTTGATAGTCAAGAGCTACACAGCATTACTTTACCATAGCAGGTTGCAGGTTAGCCACTTCTGTATAAAACAGTACTACCTTCTTAAATTATAAGCTGATCAAGGACTAAGGAATGAAGAATATAATAACAATATTTAATATTGTTCAAAACTATGCTGAAAATGAAAGGAACCTGCATTAGTCCTAATCTTTTCCCCACTACTAGAAGGAAAGGAGGGAAAAAATAACACTGGACTAGGAGGAAGGCATGAAGAAACACATTCCTAGTCTCGAAACTGAGAAGTCAAACATATTTTCTATAATTAACCGGGGCAGAGGAGCAGATTTAGATATGAGTGTTTAATTATAATCCCAAAAGAAAAACTTATGGTGTAATCAAAGACCTAACTCCAGGAAGTTAACAATCCAGTTTTATCTCTAAAGTTTGAAGCCGTTTTCTGGAATGGCAGAAACAGAAACAAACTTAACACCATTGATTTGATATAGCCTACATACCTATAAAAATAAGGAGAGTGTGCTTGTACCTCAACCCGAAAACTGAGTAAAGGAACTGGTAATTTAACGCCGGACCCTAAGAGAAGTTTTCATCCTGTGTTTTCTGGTCATTTTCGCAAACCGCCAAAACAAATAAGAGCACAGACACGTTCTTAAAATACTTTTCTTTCTGCTCTCCTCCTCAACTGTATCCTGCTACCTCTGGCAACTTGTCCCACCTCTATCCTAACTTCCACGACTGCAACCTCTCCAGCCCCGTTTTCCTACACACGTTCCACACCCTCACACAGTTTGCTCCCCTTCCTCCCTTCAGGTCTCCTTGGCAGGTCTCTGTCCTTTCAACCACCCAAACCTGAGAACCTCTGACCCCACCAGCCGCTGGACCCCCACCACCTCAACACCCTAAACGTCTTCCCCTCCAAACTAGCTGCAACATCCAATTTTTCCCACACAGTCCTGGCCTAAGCGCACGCCCCATCCCCGCGATCTCCTTCCCCAGACCTTCACGTCCTTCCACTCCAGGAGGTCCCCACACCACACCCCACGCCCCCTCCTATGCAGGGTCCTAAGCTTTGCTCCCTACCACCTTTTAGAGCCCTGCCTCATGAACTTCGTACACGCCCATCAACACCCTGCACCTCACCAGACGCTAATCCTCAAGTTATAGCCTACGGCCTTCTCACCTAGCCGGCGTTCCTCAAGAACCCGCTTGGTTCCTTCTGCCATCCGTTCAGTGGTGCACCCAACCCTGGCAACGGCTGAGTCCGCCCCTGACTGCTCCCCATTGGCTGGCTCCAGGCCAATAAGACACTTCGGGAGAGCGATAAGATCACGACGTTGTCTGTCAGGCTCGGAGGCGGGGACCAAGCCACGATTCCACTTCTTAATTGGTTAGTACAACTATCATTTATCAGTCCAGAGGTGGGACTATGAGCTCCCACCGAGCTGTCATAGGCCGGTTCGTGAAAGCAAAGAGCGAGAAAAGAGCGTGCTTGGAGCAGTTTGGTTGAGGAACGAGGAGTGACGTGTCAGACTGCAGACCCGGAAGAAGTAGCGTCGAGAAGGTGTGGTCCGTTTACCGCAGCCATGTGACCAGAAGCGGAAACTACGCTTAGGTACTGCTGCTACCAATCCTAAAAGGCGGGATCGTGAAGTAGCTTTTCTGTTTCTAAAGAAGAAATGGACCGTTCCCTAATAAAAGGTTAAAGGAGAGGCGGGAAGCTGTTCTGTTGTTGGTGAAAAGTCAAACGCTTCCTGGTCCAGACCGACCGCTCGATCTTGTGCAGGATTCATCTGCTAATTATTCGCTCGAGAGCTGTTTTTACTTGCTGTGGTAACTGCGTTAGACAAGAGACCCCTAACATTTCATTAGGCATTTTCATTTCTTCCGCCCCTGGCTGGGAAAGAGCCTTTCTAGGCCTAAAAGGGTTATCCAGGTGAAGATGGAAGAACCGCCAGTGCCTAAGGGACAGTCGTTACCTCCAGCAAAGTTCTCCCAAGAGTAGACCTGTTTTTT